CAGATCTCTAGAAAAGTTATCACACATGGGTATCAGACTTGACTTTTTTAGAGATTCAAGCCAAATGTAATAGTGATCATTTGGGGTCCTACACCCATGTGGGTAGAACCCCAAAGGATCACCATTAAAACATGGCATAGATCTATAGAAAAATTAAATCTCTATGATAACTTTTCTAAGGATCCGTGCCAAATTTAATAGTGATCATTTGGGGTCCTACACACATAGGTGTGGGAGGGTCTCATAGGATCATTACTCATATATATATACAAAAGGAAATGAACATATGAGCCCAACGAACCAGATTGAATATGAGCCAATCTAACGGTAACGACTTCATTTCGTGTTTGAATTTTAAGTTTTTTCTACAAATCTTAATAACTTGAAATTTTAAGAGTTCATTCTTCTCATGAAGGCGCACCTAATAAAAATATTTGAAAAATAATTCACAATAAATAAACTGACGAAAATATCTTTGAACCGTTTCAGGGGTATTTTGGTCAATTTATTTCATGCAAATTATCTTTTGATATGTTTATCAGATTCTCCTATTTTTTAATAATACACACTTAAAATTTCAAATTATTTAGATTCATAGAAAAAAATTAAAATTCAAATACAAAATGAGGTTGTGACCGTCAGATCAGCCTAGATTCAATCTGAGCCGTTGCGCTCCTATGAATACATATGTTCATATGAACTAGTGGGCTACTATCAGTGTAACACATATATAAAAGAAGCAACTACACAACGCCTATGGGCGAAAATGAATTGTGTTCACCCATAGGCTCGATGTCGTACGATTGTTTTTGGACGGCGTGGATTAAACGACCACAATGGACCTACTATGTCTGTTGCGGCACTGCAACGGGCATAGCATGTCTATGGCAATATTTTTTATACAAAAAGACACGAGAAACCGCCACAGCTGTTATAGATCCGTTGTGGTTTTTAAGGTAAAACCACCACGGACATAGTATATCCGTGGCAGGGCGAAACACTATCTAATTTCTCCTATAGATATTTTTAAGAGTTCTCCATATATATAGAAGATACTATAAAATACCTATAGGCGAAAATGAACAGTGATTTCGCCTACCCTCATCACAATCCAAACTTCATCGCATAGTAATTGTTGTCCGGTAGTATTTCAATATTCTTTTTTTTTTTTACTAATCGGAATGATTTGAAATTTGGATCATATGTACATCTTTGTGAGACGCACCTAATAAAAATATGAAAAAAATAATTCACAAAATATAAATTGACTAAAAGACCCCCATAAAAAGGCACATCTTTGGTCAATTTATATTTATAAATTATTTTTTTTATATTTTTATTAGGTGCACCTCACTAAGATGTACACACACTCCAAATTTCAAGTAATTTGGATCTGTACAAAAAAAATAAAAATTGAAACACTACTAGACAACTGTGACCGCACGATGAAGTTTGAATAGTGATGAGGGTAGGCGAAATCACTATTTATTTTAGCCTATAGGCATTGAGAAGTTGGGAAGAGTTTTCCTATATATAAGAGATAATCTAAATTTCACAACCCTTCAAATTACAAAGGTTCAAGTTAAAGAGAGTTGTAAATGATGCACTTATTAATTTTGTAGTCTATTTTTTTAAAAAAAGTTATTTTTGTGGGGCAGTTTTATAAATATTGTTACAAAAGGGGTAAAGTTGAAATTTTAACTAAAATGGCACTCTACAAACAAAGTTCTACGACACTAACTTCCAAAATGCTGTTGTATTTTTGTGAAATTTTTAAATTTGCTCATGCTTAATGGTAAAGTTACCTATTTAAATAATTTTTTAATAAAAAAATAATTATTGTTTTAATAAATACACCCATCACAACCCTTTCTAACTTGAACTTTTGTATTTTGAAGGGT